GGTGACGAAGCCCACGGACCGAGAGTAGGACGAAGCCGGGACCAGAATGCCGAAGGTGAGCTCCGAGGGATACGTAATCCTTCGAGCATGTTCGTTGGGCACGATCCTTTTCGGATCTCGCCGGGTATCCGAGTTGGGTACGTGCCGCAGTTTCGTATACCACCCGGCGTTGGATCCCATCGTTTATTCCGAAGAACAGTCGATCGTGGATCGTTGGTCGTCGTCGTCGTCGTCGTCGTCGTCGTCGTCGTCACCTCGAGTCTCGAGTCTTCGCTGGAACGGCAAACCGGATAGTGGCTGTTGTCGACAGGCGCGACATTGCCGGTGTAAAGTTTGCCAACTTATTAAGACACCGTGATAAACGTCGACGCGGAGCGAGGCGCGAAGGAATCGTTTCCCGATCGGGACCCACGGACCCTTTGCCCCTTTGCCCCGTTAACGACGAGCGATAACGCGCGGTCGACCGTTGCAAAAGAGAGCGTCGCTGTAAAGCGATACGCGTAACGACCGCTCTCGAGACCGGGTTCGACCAAGTTTTACAACGACGTCGCGCTCGCGATTATCGTAAAACCTAGCGTATACGATTTCCGTGCCGTTTACGCGGGAAAAAACGACTCACGGTGTAGGATTTCCGGGCGATTTGGAATTCGCGATTCGAGAAACGAGCAATGGAAGGTGTCACGAGTACGCGGATCGCCGCCACTGCGCGGGAGGGGCCTCACGCGGGAGCACGCGCGGACGCGATGCATTTCGGGATGGAAATTAAACAGTGACGGGGATCGACGAGAAAATCGATGTTCCAAGGGTCATGGGTCAGCGTGAAACCCGGTGGCCGAGTAGCCTTTGTCGTCGCGTCGACAGCCACCGGTTCGTACCGGTCTCCTCCGTGAGAAAAGAGAGAGAGAGAGAGAGAGAGAGAGAGAGAGGGGAGAAGAGAGGGGGCAGGTGTCCTTAGGTGGTTCGCGCGGTGATTCGTCATAGGCGTGACCCAACTACTCCGACTACGGCTACGACGACCACCACCACCGCTACCACCACGATCACGACGACGACGACGACGACGACGACGACGACGACGACGACGGCGATGGCGATGGTGGCGAACGTCGTCGACGTTCCATCCTAATCGCGTCATCGTCGTCCACGACGCCCGACTTTTTTTTTTTCCCGCCGCGTAGATCGTATCTCGCGACGTTGTTACCGCATGCCGTTCGATACTCGCAACGGGCGGAGGCCTTCTACTCGTGTCGGGCCCATTTCGCGCGCAGGTGCCTCGCTTCTTCTGTCGTCTCTGCGCCGATTCTCTGCGCGCGAAATCGTCCGGGCGCGTACGAATCCACGCAGTTTCGCGTTTCACGATTTTTCGAGGCGAGACTACGGGCAAAGAGGTGGGCAAAGAGAGAGGAGGAGAGAGAGAGAGGGAGATAGGGAGAGAGACGAGAAAAGAGAAGATGCAGCGGAAGAAGGTTCGACTAGATGGTAGAGACGCGCTTTCTCGCGAGATGAAGGGAGAAACGAGAGACCAGGTAGTAGAGTGGATAGTAGGCAGCCTGGACTGACCAGCGGGTGCTCCGGATCCGACTGGACCGGTTTTGCTTGAATTCCCTAGGAGTTCTAGCCTTCGGGACTCGCGAGAGTGCTCGCAGGATTCTCACTGGCCACCGGTCCACCGGTTGCTGCCTCTGGCTGCGGCTGCCGCCGGTCACCGGTCGCTACTGCGACGCGCAACAAGACCGGACGAGGACCACTCTTTGGCCAGTTCTGCTCTCTCGCTCGCCGTTTTTTTCCCCGCGATCGCTCTTTCCTCCGTCTCTCGTTTCTTTGCCCGTTTCCCCAGCGGGGAGGAAGTTTCGCGCCGTATCGGCGGACCCGTTCCACCGTGCTACCCACTACGTTTCAACGTATCATTTATCATCGGACGAGAGCGTGCCTCGTCGCGACCGTTCTCCGCTGCCTCTCGCTGCTGCTTCTGCCTCTCTGATGACTTGATACTACGCGCGCGCACGCGCGCGCATGGACCGGCCTCGCGACACCGATACGACCGCGTACTATCTGATCCGTCCTCGGAGAAACCGGCGATGAGGACGAGCACACGGTTCCTTCCCTCGCCGCGACGATCAGACGCGACGCGGCACTCGATTCTCGGATTCCGCGCGATCCGAGATATCCTCGCTGTTTACCGTCCCTGCGCTCTCTGCTCCTACCGGAACTTTAATTATAGCGGTACTCGCGCAATTTGTCTCGTTATCGATTCGAGATTTCGCGACCGGACGGCTCCCTGCTGCCCGTTCCCGAGACTCGTCCTCGCTGCTTTATCTCGCGTTTACTTTCCCTCGCGGAATCCACCGTCCCCCGTTCACTCGCGCGCACGCACGCACGCACGCACGCACTCATGCACGCATGCACGCAACGTACACCCCTTTCCTTAGCCGCCCCATGGCGGTTCGACACTCGCGCGGTCGTACACCACCGTGTCGTCATCGTTACGACGTTCCAGTTTCGCGCGAGCTATTATTATGTTTCCCTCCGGAAGGGAATCGCGCGTCGGTTTAGCGCCGGCCACCGATTCTCCGGTTTACCCTCACTCGCTCGCTCGGCCTCGGCCTCTTTCAGGCCGCGCATCGGAATCCAGTTTTCGAATCGAGTTCATCCTCGTGAAACGGTCCAGGATGACCGTTGCCTGGCATGGAAGCTGCTAGACGTCACCGACCAATCCTAACCGTCGACCCGTTTCTTTTTGTCTCGAGGAAGAGAAAAGATTCGCACGCGCAGTAGAGTACGTCTGCTCGACGACCACGGACACGATGAATTTGTTGGTCGATTAACGTCGAGTCGTCGAGAACGTAGTTGCACGATCGCTGCGGGCCGTGGGAGAGAGGATTTTTCATTCGCTCGTGTGCGGCAAAGAGCCGGCGCGGTTCCTTTATTTACGGCGGGTTCTTCGTCGCGGCGATTTAAATTAATAACGTCGCGTTTCCCTCGGCCGAAGCGAAGATTAATAGCTCCCGGAGAGCCCGGTAACGGAAATACGAGCAAGACTCCCGGCGAATCGCGGAGAGGCGATTTTCCGAGCGCGCGAGAAGAAGCCGAGAGCGATGCGAATGGTGTCAGTGTGTCCGTTTACCACTTTGCGTATTCGCTTTGCCGATCCGCGTGCTCGAAAATCGTAGCGGGTTTATTTATTCGTTCGGCGCGACATTCCCGGCATTCCCGCGGCAACGGCGATCGAAAATTCCGCGCGATTACCGACAAGCGTCTTTCGCCGCGCGACGCGAATGCGGATTAACGCTGGCGAGCGTTCATTATCGAGTCGACCACTTAGCGTCGTTAATGTCCTAATAATTCCGATCGTGGCTATTATCTAACCACGCGAGACCTAACGTGTAATCGATCGGATTACGTTAATTGCACCGTCGGGATGGCGGGCGTTCGGCGTGCGGTACGTTCCAGTCCGCTTCGGGGAAAACTGGTAATGGAGGCGACGCGGATCGGAATACGCTGGACTTTTTCCATAAAGCCTGCGGTGCGGAAGGAGAGCGGCGTTGCCCGTTACCGTTCGCTCGCTCGATCGAAATCATTAGTCACGGCGAAGAACCGTCGTTAGCGCGGCATTAAACGGCTATCGGGCGATGTATCTCCGGAGAAAAATACAATCGCGTTCGACCCTGAGATCCTCCGCGGACGCGAATAAATTAGCGGAAAAAATGCGCGCAACTGTGCGGTTAATTCGTATCGCGTCACGGAGAGGCGAGACGGCGCGGCGCGGAGAGGATGTGGCACGAAATCGTTGCGGCCGGTTCTCGATCCGCGAATTCCATCCGAGGCCCAACTATGTAACGAGCGAACACGCATAATGATATTAATCAAGGCGGCGCGTTCGGCTTCCTTAAAATTGCCGGCAGGCTCAATTTCTCACTTAAAATCTAATTAGAGCTCGCCGGAGTTCTCGGCTGCTGCCGTGGGCCAGCTCTCTCTCTCTCTCTCTCTCTCTTCTTCTTCTCTCTCTCTCTCTCTCTCTCTCTCTCTCTCTCTCTCTGTTTCTCTCTCTCGATCTCGCAGGCGGAGCAGGGAAGCCGAGGGTGACCGGTCGTGAAAGGGGTGGGCCGCTGCGTCCGCGGGGAGCGACGAGGCGGGGCACGGGGGGCCGAGGGGGGCCTCGCGACTACGACCTCGGCACCGACGCAACCCACGGATCCCCGAGCTAAGGCACCACTTTACCAAATTGCAGTTTCCTGCCCTCGGATCGTCGATCGTCGATCGTCCTCCCGCCAGGATCTCCGTCCCGGAGCCGAGCTGCGGGCAGCGGTCGTCCTCGGGATCCGAGATTCTCCACGCGCTCCTTCTCGGGCCACTTCTCGGACGTCCGGAACGAGTGGTCCGTGGATCGCGCGCGACCCGGACCCTCGGACCGCCCTCATCCTCCTCGGATTCGAGGTAAGAGTCGCATTCCCTTATTCTCCGTCTTTCGAGTCGCGCTTCGAGTTCGTGTCCTCTCGAAACTCCGGTACGCGCGGGTACGCTACGAGTATACGCGAACGAACGGACAGCGACGGTGAACCGGAAAGAAAAGGGAGCGTGGAAGCGCGTGTCGGGGAGTCGCGCGATGTGGGCACGTTGAGTTACGTTGGGTGGAGAAACGCGGCGGTAGTTGTCGAAGACGGAGGAAAGTTAAACGGAGCGAGGAGCGCGTGGAAGCCGCGGGGGGATTTACGATTGGAAGACGAAGGGTAATCGGCAGTCCGCGAGCTCGTGGATCAACTCGTTGCGATTCGTTAATTATTACCGTCGAGTCGACTAGAGCTCGTCCGTGTAGCGGCGCGGGACAGGGTTGGGGGTGGGCGCGCGGAGAGGACAGGCCAGCCGCGAGGGGGGCGCGATGCGAAGGAGCAAAAAAGACGGTCGATCGTTAGCAAGGTACAAATTTCGCCATTTGCCGCAATAAACCTTCGAACCCGCTTGTAACTTCTTCTTATGGGAGGCATGAGTAATCGCCTTGTTAGCCCTTATGGCCTATAGCGCTCATACGCTCGCTCCCTTGTCCATGGGAGGGACAACAGCAACGGCAACAGCAACAACAACAACAACAACAACAACAACAACGGCAACGGCAACAACGGCCGACATGCACGCACAGCGATTGCAAAAAAACGAAGGGAACGGGGCACGAGGGGAGATACTGCGACGAGGCGCCGTGAGAGAGAGAGAGAGAGAGAGAGGGAGAGGAGAGGAGAGGAGAGGAAACGATAGGGGTATGAAACGCGAAACACACGCGATATATATACCCCATCGACACCGGAGTCTGTGTAACGAGCGACGCAAAGGACCCGCCGATCCTCACGAGTAGTGGAGAAATCGAGAAGGAGCGAACGAGCAGAGAACCGGAGGAGAGTGCAGAGTGGGAGCAAGTCCAAGGCATTTGCGTTGTAACCGAGAAACGAGCAAAAAGCGAACGCGCGCCAACCACGCGGACAGTACCAGGGAGAGAAAGAGAGAGAAAGAGAGAGAGAGAGACAACGATGCCGGGGGTGGAAGCCAACCGAGGAATCCTTTCGTATTTTCGCCTTTCTTTCCTCCTCCCTGCCATGCTGCGCCAAATTTAATTACCTCGCGCGCCACTCGACTCTCTACCACTTAATTAGCGGCCTATAAATTAAAATATTCCTCTCCGACGACGGGAAAACTTGCGGGGAAACGACGAAACGCTGTGCAGCGCGAAACGAATCGATCGCATCGAATCCGTAGGTAAGACCTTTCGAATTTCGCTTGCAATCGATATCCTCTCGTCGATCGCGAACGCGTCGTTCCATCGACGGGCAATCCGATACGAGTGGACGCGCGTCGCGTACGTGTACGCGTACGTACACGCGTCTAGACGGTTTTAAATTTTCGAGAATCGAGAGAGAGAGAGAGAGAGAGAGAGAGAGAAAGAGAGGGAGGTTAAAAGCGGAGGAATCGGAGAGGTCGACTCGGTCGCGGCGACGAGATGTTCCAAAGTGAGAAATTTTCTGAAAAATTTCGTCGTTCGCTCGCGCGAATAGCGTCGCGACGCGTCGTCCGTACCCGGCGAGAAGATCCAGAGACCGTTCTTCTTCTCCGGAACCCGTGGTCTTTCGCGGGACCTCCGACACGGAGATACTGCGTGGCGGAGGCGCGGATACGCCGTGGACGCGCGTGTGCGTATCCCGTGCCTGCGAGTCGCGTGGCCCCATATCTTAAGAAGTAGCCAGGGGGGGTCCGGCGAAGGACAGCGAATGGGGACTAACACTGTTTTATCGTGTAGCCAATTAATAACGTTTCCCTGGACCCCTTCGTCCCTTTCCTCCTCGTCCGCTTTCGCCGGGAAGAAGAGATCTCTGCTTAAAGATACCCGGGGACCGTTCGGGACCCCCGGAAAGCGACGCCAGACTCGTAGCTGGTCCACTCTGCGCCCCGCGCGATTATCGCCTTTCGACCGCCCGCCACCCATATCCCCATGGACCATGCGACGAAAGATCGTGGACGCGTAGCGACTCGGAAATCGAGCGAGCGACGAAATTCCCAGCTTCGTTCACGATTCTTGTTGCGCAGCTAGAAATTAAGAGGGTTTTGCTTGTGATGTTGCAGCTTACAGATTTGTCTCGTATCGTCCTGCTGCAAGCGATCGTTCCAGAGTCCTGTCGCAGCCAGGCATCGTGTCAGTGTGGAAATGCATAATTACATAGAATTACGGTATAAGTTGTGTTAAATCAATGTTAATCGCTGTAGCGAAGTGGGGTATTACAATAAATACATTATTTTATGTAAAGTGTCTGTTGTTGGTTCTCCATTCCGGGACGCGGCGAGTAAGCCGAGCGTATTCGTCGCGCGCGCACTCTCGCCCAGTCATCCTGGTAGGAAGCGCGCGTCGCGTTACACGATCGCGAGGAGAGATCTAAACTCGCTGGATCGACGGGGAACCGTTTCCAGTGCCGCGGACGAAACGACTCGATATCCTTTCCCGTCCTTCTTCCACGCGGTCGTTGACGCGGCGTACCGAGGGAAAGAATGGCTCGTAAAGAGCGGCTGCAACGGTCGGCATCTGCGATGCGCAATTAACGAAAGGGTTTTCGCCTGGCCCCGTCCGCCCCGTTTCGTTCGAGCCAGCGATACCTTCTCGAGCCCAGCCGCTGCCGCCGTCGTCGCCGCTGCTGCCGCCGCCACGCTCGTTGACAAGCCGTTTGATTTATAACGAGCTTTTATTTTTTAATCCCGGCACAACTGTCACCCTTCTCGCTGCCGCTCGTTTCGCGCTTCTTCGCCCGGTTTCGCGCAGCTTTCCGCCGGCAAATTTATCGTTCAATTTGCCGCGCTCGAAGGCGACCCGAGCCGAAATCGAATCACCTCGAAGGCGCTACCCGCGCGGTTCCACGAAGCGGATCGTACCGCGAGCGTTACTGCAACGGGCGTGTCGCGGAACACGGAGGCTCGTCGGGTTCGTTCGCGCTTAATTCCGGCTTTGCGACTCGGGGGTACTTAACCCTCGGGATGGGTTACGAAATGACTTTATGGCAGATCGGAGGCTCGCTTCGAATTGCGAGCAACGGGAGTGGGACGCGTCGCGGTCGCGAGACGCGTCCAAAGATCGTTTCGACGACCGACCGACCGACCGACCGACCGACCGACCGACGAGGACGAGCAGACGGGCCCTGGAGAATTGCGCAAATGGAATCCTGATTGCGAGTAACGCGACATCCGTTACCCTTTCTCGGGGCTCGGTCGTCGCATCTTTATCGCGAGTACCGAGAATTCTCTGGAACGCGAGGGGGAGCGAAACGGAGAGGGTGGAAAGTGCAAGCACGGTGGATTCCGAGACGACGGTTAAAGGAGCATCTAGGTAGGCGACGGGGCTCGTTGGGCCGTTCGACGAGGCAATTTCGCGTCACGATCGCTGCGCGCGAGAAAGCCCGGGTTTGAGCACCTCTTTGTAATTTTACGTTGCCGTGGGGTGGCTAAAGCTGACGCAGTGGGGTAGGTGGTCGAGGTATGCCCAGTAGCCAATTCCCGGCTCTGGCCTCGACTCGCCGGGTCCATTCATCGCCGAGCACTACGTGACCGGTTTACCAATCCAGCTCTTCCTACACCAACACCGACGCCCCTGTCCCGTCTCTACCTTTCGCCTGCCACCGTCGGCCCGCTACCTTCGCGTACGTCTACGTGTATCTGCCAGACAACCCTCGCAGTCATATCGACCGGCTTCCCATGCCCCGTCGACTCTCCCCTCGCGATACCGAACTTCTTCTCCTCTCGTCCACCATTTTCCGAACCTTTCGCTCGACCTCGATTCCGTTCCAACCGGCGATCGCGTTGCCAAAAATTTCCTCGTAAAAATCTCGCGACGCGTGCACCGGGACCGACTCCTACGCGAACGTTTGTCGGAAGTTGGAAGAACGCGCGCGTGCTCGCAGGGGGCGTCTCGCGTCGCGCAAAGACGACTAGCAAGAGGTAGAGGAGGAGGAGGAGGAGGAGGAGGAGGTAGAAAAGGAGAAGGGCCGACTCGATCGGGTCGGTTTCCACGCGATGATGACATGTTAATGTATGGATACGTAGTACGTAAGAGCGTGTCTGGAAGGTAGGAGGGCGGGCGCGGAGGAGCCGAGACGCGGAGGGCACGGTGGTGGCAAGCACGAGCCAAAGGAGGGCCCCCTTTCCTGCCGGATGAGTTTCTTTCGGTTCAAAACGAACGGGTCCTCGGCCCCGACATCCCGAGTCATTGTCGCCCTGCCTTCTTCATCTGCATACAATGCCGGAGACATCCGCGGCTCGAACCATCCCCCTGCTGGCCCCCGTGCCCCGGACCGCCCTCTGTCTCCCCCGACGTCTCGACGACCCAACGTATCATCGGAATATCGTTAATATGGCCGCCCATCGAAATTACCGAACGAACCGACTCGCGACCGAACGCGGAGCGGCGCGGAGCGACGAGGAAGCCGCGCGCAGCACGTGTCGAGACCTACGGTTGCTTTCGAATTCTTTCGGTCCTGGTTTTCGCCAGCTCAGCCCGCCGCAGCGTCGCGATCGTTTCGTCGTCGACGCGACAAAAATTAAAAAAAAAAAAAAAGAGCTATCTCGTGTTCGATCGCGGAGAAATCGGGAAACTCGGTACCGCGAACGAAGGGGATAGAAGAGTCGTCGATTAAGCGCAGAGGGTCGAGCTCGTAACGGTTAGTCGGTTGTGTGCTCCCTTTCGAACCGAATAGTGGCAACAGTTGCGGTTTATGAAATTAAATCCACCCTGTGTTGCACGCTTCGTTTCGCTCTCCTCCTCCTCCTGCTCCACCTCTCGCGAGTGGTAACCTCCGACCGGCTTTCCGACGAGAAGAAGAAGAAGAAGAAGAAGAAGAGGAGGAAGAGGCACTTGGCCGAGGCAACAATGTCCGCGATGGCTATCGCGAATCTCGCGAACTTTTGTTAAAGGTTTGCTCGAAATCGAGAGAGCACGCGGAACGGGGATTTTTCGTGCGAGCGATCAAACTCGGTGGGGCGCCCCTTCTCGTCGTATTTGTCGCGAATGGCGCGGTCCGGGGACGATTTATACTTGGGGACGAGCGTGGAACGCGCGTCGTTCGGCCACGCTCTATAATATCCAGCACGAGCGCAGCCACCTTTATCTCTGCTATTAACCCCCGGCAAGTAATTAAATTAAATGATCCACGGTCCCTCGATCATCCGGCTCGTAAGTGCCTATTTATTCCGACACCCTTCAAACGCTACGAAATCTCGTATCGCGGCGCGCGTCGCGGGAGTTCCGAATTACGCGTCCCTTGGAATTCCTCGAGTCTCTCGACGTAAAACGCGCGATCGGGGCACTCGCCGCGAATGCGAGATATCCGGCAATCTCGCGGACGATGGAGGAAGGAACGGTTCTAGCCGCGAAAGCAACGTTTCGGAACAGCTGGGTCGAGATTGTCGGAGGATATATGGAGAAGGCCCCTTCCGGGGCCGATCTAGGTTCTCGAGTGGCGCGTTGGAAAAAGAAATCGGGGGGGGGGGGGGGGGGGGGGGG